CTTACCGCTGCTCGCTACCGTCCACGCCAAAGAGAAAAACGACACCTCTGAAAATAGCTTCGCCGAGAGAGATTTGACGGGACAGGTCGCGCCATTTTTACTCGAAACCCGCCGTTTCCACGTTCGCCTCTTCGGCCGTTCGCGAGTCACCAGTCGCAACTCATTGTTTCGCGAATCTCAGATTCGCATGCGGATCCCGCGCAGAAAATAGATCGTCTGGAACAGGAAGAACGCCCGCCGCGTAAGTTGACTAACGCTTGGCTAAACGTAGAACGCTTTCAGGAATAATCAATGGATGACGTTCGATCCAGAATCGGAGTGACTGTTGAACGTGCAGGATTTTTAGTCCACCGAATGGTTTCTCGCATTTCGAATGATTTTGCAACAACTTTGCAAATCTCAATCTCGAGAATTAGATAAAGTCAACGAGTTTCATACCTTTTTGCAGGTATTTTGGAGACCTGTTCTAGCTGTTCCTATCATTTTCTATTCGTACATACTCCCAACTACACTGCTACTCTAAAAATATACTTTCGTTTGTCTGCAAGCGTTCGTTCCCGACAAAAATACTTTTCTCTCCTAGGCAAAAAGCTGGTATTATCGCCGATGCAAGAGATTACGGGATTTCGATGTAACGGACGAGGAAATATACGTACTCGAGAAATTCTCGAGTGATCTGCCGCGGCTGTTTCTCTCAGTCTCCCGTGGTGCAAGAGGGGAAAATTCTGAAATAGAAATGCAGGAGAGACGAGCCAGGGAACGAGAGACTATTTCGGGTGAGGTCAGAGGCTGAGGTCAGTCTATAAGGCCTGGTCAGCCTCCCACGAGTGCTGGAACCCTGCCAAGCACGACACCCACGCAGCGCCGGGGGAACAGAAACCTGCGGGAACTCGAGCAGCTTGCGTTTCGTGGATCGTGATCTACGAGATCTGCGCAACAGCGAGAATTCATCTTGCTACAGCTTGCTTACCGTGCTCACCTATGCAATTTGTCCGAAGCGTTTCCACGCTATTCTATAAATAATACACCGGCCACGCACATTTCTCGTTAGAAAATAATTTTGGCCTCCGTGGATGATGCACCCATCATCTCGTGCCGGTCGCTCCAACGATTACGAATTACCGGGGAAAGTGAATGTAATGGCCATGCGATTGAAACTCGATACTCGTGCCAACCACCGTAATGCGTCATCATTTTCTCTTATTTCCTACTGTTTTCTTATATACAGGCCATTACAAATCGCAAACATTTAGACTAAATGATGAATTTCTCTATCAACTTTCACGAGTCGTTCTTCCGCGTTAGAGTCTGTTTCACGTTTGTGTCAAAAAACACGTGGAAGAGTGCGAGAGAGGTAGAGCACGAAACCAAAACCTCGAGAAAAGTCGACTAGAAAACCTTCTGAAACTCGGCTCGGCTCTCGCTCGGCCACGGAAAAGAATTTACTGTCACGTCGCGGTGAAATGTGATAATAGCCGTAACATGACAGATATTAGCAACAATCACCACTTGCGTCCCTGCGTTCTAGCTCGATCTATCAGCTCGAAATTTTTATCGCCTTTGATACAAGACGTAAATGACGACACTCATTTACGAAATGACAAACACTCCTGACATGCT